TTTATTATAATATAAGCTAAAAAAAGAAGGGAAAAAAACTATATATCAAATTTTCAACTTCAAAGCTATCCACATTTCGAACATTATTTATGGAACCTAAACATTCAAGGTCAATTTATTAAGATTGACCATGTTTTTGACATGGACATAGCATAAATATAACGTCAAATTTATTATAATATAAAATTTCAAAAAAGAAGAAAAAAAATAAGAACTATAATTACAATACATGATGCTCACCTCCAACTATTGCAACACGTCTAGATTTTCTCGGTCGCATTCTATACCATAGCAATTATATTATAGAATCAATTGTCAACTCAACACTTAAAAGTAAAAAAATAAACAAAATATATTACACAAAGAATTGTTTCTTCACTCCACTTTGGAAACAGGATTCTAGGATTCAAATTACCGTAAAGAAGAAAAATTTGTACCATGAACAAATGAAAATAAGCAAGACACCACAACAAAATCCCACAAATTCTATATAAACATACACGCAGGTTCAACCTCAACAATCTCGAAACTAAATAATAGTTAATAAACAATTTCCAAAAAGTCAAATTTTGCAGATATATGTTTACCACAACCCTATTATGCTTTATATTAACCATTTTTTCGGATAGATGGATAGCTATAGATTCATATCTTCGACAAAAAACAAGAATTACTGAAACACTCACTTGAAGAAGAAGAACAAGATACAAAAATTTCACTCAATTGTAGATCCACATATAGCATCTAATTCAACCACTTCTCAGTTTTCTTCCAACAATTACACGGATAATTCTTCATCTTCCAATTTAATAAAACCTGCTGTACAAGCACAAACCCAAAAATTCCGAAACAACCGACAAAAAATCCAAATTCTGTATAATTATACAAGCAGCAAAAATGACTAACATTTTAAGACTCTGAGTTACCCTTCCAGGAAATGGAAAGAAAAACATAAAGAAAATGTGAAAAAGAAAAAGTTAAAGAAATAACCTTAGTTTTCAATTTTTCAATTTTGCACTTCGGCGAGACAGAACGAAAGCTTTTTTCTTCGGGTGAAAGCTGCAATTTAAAGAGGTTTTTTCAAGAAATCAAAACGGAAAGGTAAAGAAAAAATGGAAAAGAAAAAGTTAAAGAAACCACCTTAGTTTACTATTTCTCCCGGAGCTATAGCTATAATTTTTGAATAGAGAAAAGAAGAAAAGAAAAGAAAAGAAGTGAGAAAGGACTGAGAGATTTTGAAAAGAGAAAAGAAAAGAAGTGAGAGATGACTGAGAAAGAAATGAATGTATGTATGAAGTATGTACTATTAAATGGCGGCTCGGCTATGACGGCCCACTCGACTCGACTCGACTCGACTCGTCCAGCACGGCCATTCGGCTTATGAATAGTAAACACAGAAGTGCATGTTTTATATAGTAGTGAAATAATATTGACTGATTGAAGACTAACATCTACTTTATTACAATAACATTGTATTGAGAATCAAGGTACAGACGAATAGATTCACGGGAACCCAAATTTTCTTTTTCCTGAAGATTGCTCTCTGTACAAGAAAGACTTGAACATTGCATCAAAAATTTATTTTTAATTAAATTATGCTTTGAATATTTGCACCAGGAAACTGATCTCCTCTTCAACCCTACACTACAATTTGAAATAAATTTTATATCATATTGTATCAAATTTTGTATCAAACTAAAAATCATCTCTAATCTATTACACCAAAAGTTACATCAAATGAACGGTATTTAATTATTTCTTTCACTTTTTTATTCTTAACAATTTATATATTTGAAAAATTATTTATTTATTTAATTTATTACTGCATAAATTACTACATAAATAACAAAAAATTTAAATTCATTAAAAAAATTTTAAAATGTAGTACGATTAAAGTTTAATTCATTCTTCGATTATTATTGATTACATGATTAAAGTTTATTACAAATAATAATAATAATAGTAGTAGCAGCAGTAAAAAAACAATAATAACTTGTTAAGAATTAAAATTTATGTACAATATAAAATGACACAAATACCCCCTTAACAACATTTGGTGCTAAATGAAAAAGGGCAAAAAAGACTATAGCCAAATATGGTGCAATAATATTCACTTGCGCCATTTTGGTTGGGTTGAAGTGATATTGCACCAAATATTTGTTGTTGATGGAAGATATATAAAGTGCACAAAGAGGCATGAAAATGAAAGCAAAGAACAAAAAACCAGAAAATTAGAGAAAATAAAAAGAAGATCAATGGGAAGATGAAAAGGAAGGCCCGAACACATAATCGTTGTCCCCAAATTATATTTGCCCCCTCTCGGATTGAAATGATACTTAAAGGGATTATGGTAAATGTTTTGTAGGATTAAGCAAACCTTGCAAAGGATTTTACACTTAAGCACTAGTGAAAATCCTCCAAAACTTGAATAACACGAAAAAGGAAATTTTTGAATATGTATAAAGAAATTTTTTAATTTCAATGATGTGTGGAATAAATATGTTCTCAAGAATGATACTCATCATCTTGCCTTTGAACATTGATCACATATATATAGGCATCAATAGTCTTCCACGAAATGGTGCCAAAATCATATGAAAAGCCACCAAAATTCAAACATCAATGGCCATAAACGTCTATATTTTTTCTCTATGCGGTCACATAGGCTTGGCCTATGTGACCAAATAGTTAATGCCTATGTGCCCGCATAGTTAATGCAATCATAGGCCCATTCAATTCCAGTATGTGGCTATGAGACCGCATGCCATATTGAACTATGGGGTCGTATAGTTCATCATTTTGGCCTCAAAATCCATTTTTTATTCCACGATCAATTTTATTAACTTTTGAACAATATTTTCAACAATCCCCTACTTGTTCAAAATTTTAATAAAATCTCATATTCAAAAATGTACAATCCTTATGCATAAGGATTAGATATCTTTTGATTTGAATTTCACCATAGTGTAATTCAAAAGAAAAAGGGCAAAAAAGACTATAGCGAAATATGGTGCAATTGCACCATTTTGGTTGGGTTGAAGTGATATTGCCCCAAATATTTGTTGTTGATGGAAGATATATAAAGTGCACAAAGAGGCGTTAAAATGAAAGCAAAGAACAGAAAACCAAAAAATTAGAGAAAAACAAAAAGAAGATCAATGGAAAGATGAAAAGGAAGGTCCGAACACATAATCGTTGTCCCCAAATTATATTTGCCCCCTCTCGGATTGAAATGATACTTAAAGGGATAATGGTAAATGTTTTGCAGGATTAAGCAAACCTTGCAAAGGATTTAACACTTAAGCACTAGTGAAAATCCTCCAAAACTTGAATAACATGGACAAGGAAATTTTTGAATATGTATGAAGAAATTTTTTAATTTCAATGATGTGTGGAATAAATATGTTCTCAAGAATGATATTCATCATCTTACCTTTGAACATTGATCACCTATATATAGGCATTAATAGTCTTCCACAAAATGGTGCCAAAATCATATGAAAAGCTACCAAAATTCAAACATCAACGGCCATAAACGACTATATTTTTTCTCTATGCAGTCACATAGGCCAAACCTATGTGACCACATAGTTAATGCAATCACAGGGCCTTTCAGTTCCAGTGGCCTTTCAGTTCCAGTATGTGGCTATGAGACCGCATGCCATATTGAACTATGGGGTCTCATAGTTCATCATTTTGGCCTCAAAATCCATTTTTTATTCCACAATCAATTTTATTAACTTTTGAACAATATTTTCAACAATCCCCCACTTTTTCAAAATTTTAATAAAATCTCATATTAAAAAATGTACAATACTTATGCATAAGGATTAGATATCTTTCGATTTGAATCTAACCATAGTGTAATTCAAACAAAGTAAAGTCGAAATTAAAGATAACGTGAAAACTTTGAACCAATTACTCCATATGACAATACTAGTAAGAACATGCACACAAGTATTACGTATTCTCAAGTTCCTCAATCTCGTTTAGTGCTAATATGGTCTTACGCTCATCCTTTTCAACAAACTTTTAAGAGAGAAACTCTAACTCTCTATTAAGACGGCACCACCTCGAAGTTCATTTAGGTGAAGTTCTTCCAGTATCTTTTTTACTTTTAGAGATACTTGTACTTAGAACTGAACTTCATTAAGAGCTTTAAAACTCAGCCCTCATTTCAATAACAACCAACATTATTTAATTAGAATAGGGTTATTGTGGATTATATAATACTATCCATATATCGAATGACTTATTGTTACCCTTTGAACCCGTGGATTACTTGATAAGTAATGACAGGCAGGGTTGCTATCATTGATAGACCTTTAGTTCAAGAGTTTCAACCACATTTTACTTCGAAGTAGATGTCGCTAAATCTCTATTTAGAAGTTTAGTTAAATGATCCGCTAAATTTTCAATTGACTTAACATAGTTTAGGGAAATTATTCCATCTTTGATTAATTTCCTTATGTAGTTTTGTCTAAGACTCATATGTCTAGACTTTCCGTTGTAAATTACAATGTTGAGGCAAATGCTAATTTTGGAAGAGTCACTTGCAAAGTTGAGAGCTTTGAGTGGTGATTGATGGATGGTATTGCTTGCATGTCTGTTAAATTATATAATTTGCTTGTTGGTTACAAGTTGTTAATGAAATGGAGTTACAATTCATATCATATAATCATGTTACTTTCAGAGCCAAGTCACACATTTTTATCACACAATTTCTGTAGCAGAAGAAAATTAATAATTGGAAAAGGCATTAGAAGTCTAGGAATAAACCTCATGTTGAAGATTGTAACGATTGAGTTTCAAGTTTTGCTTTCGGTTTTTTTTTTTAGCTTTTGGGAATTTGGTTTCCACATAGCATTTCAAGTGTTCGATTAAAATAAAGCTGTAATTTCAAGCTTAATTACTTTAATGACCAAGGATGCGAAGGTCAAATCTGACCTTCCTAATGGATAATTGTAATTCTCAAAATGTATCTTTATGTTTCAGGGAAAATGGGTTCAGAATTCAGCCCAAAAATGCATGTTAAATCTCTGACCGCACAGCAAATTGTTCGCATGCATCAGTTGTTCCGTCAAGCCAAATTTGATGATCCCAGTGGCAATGTAATGTCTCTTGTATTGCTTTTATTATTTATTCCTAAAGTTACATATTTGATTTGTTAGCATTTTTCAGTACATTTACATCAATGGTGGTGTAGATTTCGCACTATGTCAGGTTTCTATTTGTAAGACAAAAGAGCTACCATCTACCTCCACATGGTATGATATCAAAATCTTATGATCAATATCAAATTCTTGCTATTTTTTTCTCTTTTGTTTATTTTTGCATTTAACTTGGGCAATGTGTATCTCTCTTGATAGCACCAATGTAAATACTTGTAGACACATTTCATATAATCCAATGTAGTCACCTCCAAATGCTATAGTCATTTCCCCCTTCCATTAGTTTACATGTTAAGTTTTAACAATATCTTTAAAAATGATACGATTTTACCTCCAAAATTGATCTCCTTAAACACTAGCCAAGGTTTGCTACTGGAATCATTTTCAGCTTATCATCATTGTAGCTTTTCTTGGTGTAAAATTGTAGTTTTCTTGGGGATGACTGGTTTATACTCTACAGTAGAATTGATTTTCATGTGTTGTTTTTGTTATTCAGTGTGGTGGGGAGGGATGCTTCTTTAAGTGCACAAGAAATTTACTCTCCGGACTCAGTAGGCTCAATTTTATGGGTTTGTTGTGCTTTTTTGTCCATACCTATTTTATGATTGTTTGTCTTCAAGTGCAAATACAGTAGAGCTTTAATTATAGATGAAAGTTTGTTGAAGGTTTTTTTCCATTTCATCAATAGCATATGGCCCAAGTGTTCTAGACTAAGCACCATGCGGGTGTCTTAGCCATTCTGTTAAGACACAAGAAGTGTGTTTTGGGGATTTATGCAGGTGGAGAATACAAGGAAGGACCATGCTTGTTGGGAGAGACCTGAGGACATGGACACTCCAAGAAGTGTGTTTAAGATAGACAAAAATACCCCAGGCATGCAGCTGAAACAGCTGCAGCTCCTGTAGCTGAAACAGCCTGCCTCTTTAGTCTTTAAAAGAAGCGACCCCACTTATTCCAAGCTCCTTGCCAGAAGGGCAATTAGGGTACAATTTAAATATTAATTAACAATTAAATACTCAAGATGAATAATGCAACAATTTCATCTGGGGTTTATGTTTGCTTTGTAGGTGTTTCAGTTTGCTGATAAATACAGAGGCGCATACAGCAATGGACTGAAACCATATGTCTGCACTTATTATTGGGATTTTAGTTTTTCTTAGATTTTAGCTCCAATGTATCGATAAAAACAAACTATTGTTTTTTAACCAATTTCATAATTGAAGGAAAACACCAGGGAAATGAATCTAGCACATTTATATTGCCTGCTGCATATGCAAGTTGTTGTTTGTTGCACTTCTAGAGTCGAATTTCATTCTGTGATCGCTTTCATGATGTTTGGTAGTATGGATGTACTGACTAGACTTTGGTGGTTTATATGCGCTTCAAGCTTTGGATATATATTTCCTCCCTTTTAACTCGATTTTGTTCTTCTGTGAGCAGGTAATTTGAGGATTCCCTGTTTTCTTGACAAAACAGTATGTTGTTAGCGTAATCCATTTCGTTCTGGTTAAAACATTGACGTATTTAAATCAATGCAAGTGTTTTGTTTCTTTTCAGGTAATTAATTCCATTGATGTATTTTATTGCAGTCTAATCTATTATTCATGCTACCTTGCTATTTTGTCATTGTTACCTCCCTAGACCGTATAGAGTTTGGACTGAAAGTGAGCCTAATCCAACGAAGGTCTTTATTATAACTTGTTTCTCAACTGCTTTGTTCTGAGCATATAGTTTATTTCACTTGCATGGAATCAATTGTGTACAAGCCCGTGACTCTCATTTATGCCTAATATGCCTAATATGCCTTCAAATCACTCCACGCTATTAAATACCCAATTAAAATGTAGCATGTGCATCGCACGTGCATAAACTAGTGTATGTAGAAGTTACCGTTACAGTTACAAAGTCAAGAGCAACAAGAGATTCCAAGTTTATAGTTACAATCTATTACTTTCACAACAAGCATCAAATGCACATTTTTTTCCTATGAAGTTGACTCCACAAACAAATCTTCTCTTGTAAATAGTCCTTTCCAAGTCGATCAATAGCCAAGGGTCCTCCATAATCATGGACCACGATAAGTGTTGACATTATATCATTGTCACAAACACCTTCTCTAACTGGGTAACTCCATGGACAAACTTCTATTGAAAAAGAGCCAAGAACCAAAATACCTTTTGTCCATCATCTAGATTTTGGGCTGCCATCTTCAAATACGATTTCGATGATGGGCAGAGAGTGGGCTTCTGTCTTCACACATGGCCGATGGTGCACGCTAGAGATGAAGAAGTGACTTTGACCGAAAATGAAGAAAATGTGGGGGGAGAGAGATTTTGATTTGGGGAAAATGGGGTGCCAAAACAACGGTAGAAAAATGCATGAGATGTATGCTAGTCGTTTGCGCTGACCGATGGTGACAATGATGCGGCTGCCAAATTTGCTACGAGTGGGAAATAGCAAGAGAACGAGAGGCTGATTTGGGAAAATTAGGAAACCTAGATAATTGACCCATTATACTTCATTTTGCCACTAGTTATTTCAGAAGCTGAAACCAATTTTGCAATAGAGCCCGATTTTGCTCCACTTTGAATTGTTTGGAAAATTCAACCATACCACGTACTTAAATTTAAATTCCTATACCAATTATGTATTCATTTCCTATACCTATAGACTAATTGTGAACAATTTTACAATTGAAGATGTGAACAATCAACAATCAATGATCCCCCTAATTCATTATTCTCTTTCACACGTGTAAAATTAGACCTAGCAACGAATGATATAGAGATAAAAGAATTTGTAGCCCCATAATCAAAAAGTACGTAAGCAGGTACATCAGATAATAATAGAATACCTGCTATCACTTTCGGATCCTACTCCGTCTCATGCTGATTTAGTGCAAAAACTCGGGTCTTTCCTTTCAACAAGAACAGAACTAGTAGTAGGAACTTCTTTGGAGGCTCAATAAAGTTTAGAGAAATGTGTCCCGGTTTACTACATCGAAAACACGTTCTTCCCAAGCAAGAATTCACCCCTGTGGAGTTTATTATAGTTAGGACAACGTGTAATATTTCCACTCGTCCTACCGATACAAACTCATGCGCTTGTTCTTTTATTCTGCCAGTTACGTATGCCATTATTCTGATCATTCCACTTTCTTTTTCCCAATTACTCATTACCCTGCTGGGCATACTGCTCAAATGTAGTCCTTTGATATGAAATATCATGAGCCCTCTCCAACATTTCACGATATAAAGTAAAATGATGAGACATAATGATCATGCTGATCTCCGGGCGTAGTCCATTTTCGAACTTCCTGATAAAAAACATGCATGTCTTAAAATTTAAAATATGAAATTTAAAATATTTAAGTTATACAACAAGTTTGAATAAATTCATCTTCTTACCTCTTTACATATATTGGAGTCGTCGGAGGTGGTTGACGGGTGGTTGTTGAGTGCCAATGATCCTTTGCATTCTTATATATTAAGAACTTTTTTAAACAAAATTACATCATTTTAAAATTTATATCTCTTAGGAAAATTATCAATTATTAACAAATATTACACAAGGTTAAGGCTAATCACACACATTTATATCTCCTACTTGCTGTCTCGAAGGGCTGGAGTATCAGACAGGTTGACATCAACAATGCATTCTTAAATGGAAGGCTAGATGAAGTTGTATCTATGAATCAGCCAAATGGTTTTGTTGACAAAACCAACCCCACATTTGTTTGCAAAGTGGAAAAGGCCTTGTATGGACTCAAGCAAGCTCCAAGAGTCTCATATGAAAGGTTGAAAAAGACACTCTCAGATTGGAAATTTGTCAAGTCTAAGGCAGACAGCTCTCTGTTCTTCTATATGAACCAAAGTCTAGTAATTTTTGCCTTAGTGTATGTGGATGACATTGTCATAATTGGCAATGATCAAAACATGCTGCAAAGGTTCATTGACAAACTAAACACGCAGTTTGCACTAAAGGATATGGAGGAATTGCATCAATTTCTTGGAATTGAGGTTAGAAGGTGTGAATCAGGAATGATGCTTACTCAGGTTAAGTACGTAAATGACTTGTTAAAAAGGTTTAGCCTTGAACATCTTAAACTTTGTTCAACACCTATGAAAATAGGAAAGTACATTTCTAAGAATGAAGGTGAGAAAATGGTGAATCCTTCATTGTATAGAAGTGTCATTGGAGGATTGCAGTACTTGGTACATACACGGCCTGATATAGCTTTTGCAGTAAACAAATTGAGACAATTCTTACAAACTCCTTTAGATGTGCATTGGAAGGCGTGGAGAGAATTTTTAGATATTTAAAAGAAACTATTGAACAAGGTCCGTGGATACAAAGAAGTGACAGAATGAACATAACCGGATTTGCTGATGCAGACTGGGCTTCATGCCCTGATGACAGAAGATCTACAGTCGGTTATTGTATTTATTTAGGTGATACTTTGGTAGCCTGATCATCAAAGAAGCAGCAAGTTGTAGCAAGGTCTAGTACTGAATCAAAATACAGAGCCTTGGCACAAGCTTCTGCTGAAATAGCCTGTATTGAATCTTTACTTAAGGAAATCAAAATACGGCCAATTGCATCTCCTGTTCTTTGGTGTCATAATCTCAGTGCAAGTGTGTTAGCTTCTAATCCAGTTTACCATGCTTGAACAAAACATATTGGATTGGACATTCATTTTGTCAGAGATAAGGTTCTTAAAGGGAAATTTCAAATCCAATATGTTCCTTCATCAGACCAAATTACAGACCTGTTGACCAAGCCTCTTGCTCAAACCGGGTTTCTTTTTCTCAAGGACAAGCTTGGAGTTAAGGAATAAACTCCAGCTTGAGGGAGGATGTTAAAATAATCACAATTGAGGCCTACTAACCACCTGCTACTGCAATAATCACGCCATCTTGGAGAGCTGCTATTGTGCACCTTTTGGGACCACAAATTAGCTGTTATAACTGTTTTGATTCTCACGTGAACATTACATTATTTTTACTTGCTCATCACTCCATTAAGTTGTATATATATTCTGCCCGTGTACTAGTAATATTGTAGAGTGGAAATTACAGATTATCTTTTCCATTTTACTGCTTTATTGCTTATCAGTTTCATCTGCCTTTTTATTCTATTTTCAACTTTGTGCTTACAAATTTTGATATTAGAAAAATACAGGTCCGCCATTGAGAGTGTTAAACACTTTATCCAAATATTTAAGAGTGAACTTAGCATCCGATGACATTGTCATTGCTATCGGCATTGGGCATTGGTGTCGAAATCGGCATTGGCAGGTTTAAACCTTAACGGCCTCCTACATCCTACAGTCCGACAACGATCTTTCTCCATGATATATTTCACGCTTCCACTAGCATGAACCCGGACACCGCCCCTTCTCCAATCTATCAGTTGGCTCTTCTTATAGAAATGAAATATCATTTTTCCAAATAGTAGTTTGAAGATTGCAAAAATATCATATTCTCATTGTTCTTCATATGCATCATCTATTAACCACATTCAAAAATTGTTGTGCCACTAAAATTGATTATTAATAAGGCCACTATTGAGTCACCACGAGCCAAACAAATGGAAGTCCTACAGGAAGAATTCAGGGAAAATCATTAACATGAATCCCTTCAGCTGAAGGAATGAAAGCCTTCGTTGATTCCTCGCTCCCCACTTATGCAGATCAATTAATAATTGCAAACCTGGTCTTATCGGCCTTATCTTTAGCTAATTTTGTCTTTGCATTTTACGTGTATACGTATATCTCCATATCCAATCGACAATGCTGTGGGTCTTGTAAGGGATTTGAGCCTCAAGA